CCTGAAAACTCTAGAACTGGAGACTCAACCACCATTTTCAAAATTACCATTAAAAAACATCTCATCTCCATAACACACCCCATCATTAGCTAACCAAATGAAAACCACCCAATTATCTTTTTTTTTGTATCAAGAACACATCCAAAACAATATAGACTTACCGTTATCTGTAATTCCTCTACAATTTTCACCTACACCCACCCAAAGGACTGTAAACATCCAATTCCTAAATATAGCTATTGCCTATTAAATCTTATGTTAATCTTATTAAATCTTAAAAGTTAATCCTAAGTTTGTTGAAGATACTCCTCCAGTATGGCTCTAATAGAAACAATGTATCATGCCAAGACAAACTGAATCCCATTACTAAATCTGCCATTTGTACTAATATTAAATGATTTGACTACCTAACTATTTTAAACCTAATTATATTATTCTTTTATTATCACACTGGCCGATTCCCACCAAGGCAGGGTGGCCCGAAAAAGAAAAACTTTCACTATCATTCACTCCATCACTGTCTTGCCAGAAGAGTGCTTTACACTACAGTTTTTAAACTGCAACATTAACACCCCTCCTTCAGAGTGCAGGCACTGTACTTCCCATCTCCAGGACTCAAGTCAGGCCTGCCGGTTTCCCTGAACTCCTTCATAAATGTTACTTTGCTCACACTCCAACAGCACGTCAAGTATTAAAAACCATTTGTCTCCATTCACTCCTATCAAACACGCTCACGCATGCCTGCTGGAAGTCCAAGCCCCTCGCACACAAAACCTCCTTTACCCCCTCCCTCCAACCTTTCCTAGGCCGACCCCTACCCCGCCTTCCTTCCACTACAGACTGATACACTCTTGAAGTCATTCTGTTTCGCTCCATTCTCTCTACATGTCCGAACCACCTCAACAACCCTTCCTCAGCCCTCTGGACAACAGTTTTGGTAATCCCGCACCTCCTCCTAACTTCCAAACTACGAATTCTCTGCATTATATTCACACCACACATTGCCCTCAGACATGACATCTCCACTGCCTCCAGCCTTCTCCTCGCTGCAACATTCATCACCCATGCTTCACACCCATATAAGAGCGTTGGTAAAACTATTCTATCATACATTCCCCTCTTTGCCTCCAAGGACAAAGTTCTTTGTCTCCACAGACTCCTAATTGCACCACTCACCCTTTTCCCTTCATCAATTCAATGATTCACCTCATCTTTCATAGACCCATCCGCTGACATGTCCACTCCCAAATATCTGAATACATTCACCTCCTCCATACTCTCTCTCTCCAATCTGATATCCAATCTTTCATCACCTAATCTTTTTGTTATCCTCATAACCTTACTCTTTCCTGTATTCACTTTTAATTTTCTTCTTTTGCATACCCTACCAAATTCATCCACCAATCTCTGCAACTTCTCTTCAGAATCTCCCAAGAGCACAGTGTCATCAGCAAAGAGCAACTGTGACAACTCCCACTTTATGTGGGATTCTTTATCTTTTAACTCCACGCCTCTTGCCAAGACCCTCGCATTTACTTCTCTTACAACCCCATCTATAAATATATTAAACAACCACGGTGACATCACACATCCTTGTCTAAGGCCTACTTTTATTGGGAAATAGTTACATGGGAAATAGTTACATGGTCCACAGAGACTTCTGTTACTATGCTGAAGTCTGATTTCACACAAGTTACAGTCATGTATGATGGCCGCAGAACCACAGTAGACTGCAGAGCAACGTGATCGTTAACTGGGGTGTGTAGTACGGCAAGTGTACTAGTAGTGACAGTCTGCACATTGAGTGACGTCAGGGTCACTGCCACACTATGGAATGCCAGGTCAGTTAGAGTGATGAAGTGATCAACAGTTACAACTTTTGTTACTGTAGGAGTTACTTGAAATTCTACTCTCCTGACTGGAGCAGGACCACTGCCGGCTTGACCGATCCTGCCACTTCCTTGATCGAAAGATGCACCGGTACTTCCAGCGAGGGGCTTGGACTTCCAGCAGGCATGCGTGAGCGTGTTTGATAGGAGTGAATGGAGACAAATGGTTTTTAATACTTGACGTGCTGTTGGAGTGTGAGCAAAGTAACATTTATGAAGGGATTCAGGGAAACCGGCAGGCCGGACTTGAGTCCTGGAGATGGGAAGTACAGTGCCTGCACTCTGAAGGAGGGGTGTTAATGTTGCAGTTTAAAAACTGTAGTGTAAAGCACCCTTCTGGCAAGACAGTGATGGAGTGAATGATGGTGAAAGTTTTTCTTTTTCGGGCCACCCTGCCTTGGTGGAATCGGCCGGTGTGATAATAAAAAAAAATAATTTTCCTCTTTCCTACATATTCTAACTTGAGCCTCACTATCCTCGTAAAAACTCTTCACTGATTTCAGTAACCTACCTCCTACACCATACACCTGCAACATCTGCCACATTGCCCCCCTATCCACCCTGTCATATGCCTTTTCCAAATCCATAATTGCCACAAAGACCTCTTTAGCCTTATCTAAATACTGTTCACTTATGTGTTTCACTGTAAACACCTGGTCCACACACCCCCTACCTTTCCTAAAGCCTCCTTGTTCATCTGCTATCCTATTCTCCATCTTACTCTTAATTCTTTCAATAATAACTCTACCATACACTTTACCAGGTATACTCAACAAACTTATCCCCCTATAATTTTTGCACTCTCTTCTGTCCACTTTGCCTTTATACAAAGGAACTATGCATGCTCTCTGCCAATCCCTTGGTACCTTACCTTCTTCCATACATTTATTAAATAATTGCACCAACCACTCCAAAACTATATCTCCACCTGCTTTTAACATTTCTATCTTTATCCCATCAATCCCGGCTGCCTTACCCCCTTTCATTTTACCTACTGCCTCACGAACTTCCCCCACACTCACAACTGGCTCTTCCTCACTCCTACAAGATGTTATTCCTCCTTGCCCTATACACGAAATCACAGCTTCCCTATCTTCATCAACATTTAACAATTCCTCGAAATATTCCCTCCATCTTCCCAATACCTCTAGCTCTCCATTTAATAACTCTCCTCTCCTATTTTTAACTGAAAAATCCATTTGTTCTCTAGCTTCCTTAACTTGTTAATCTCACTCCAAGCTTTTTCTTATTTTCAACAAAATTTGTTGATAACATCTCACCCACTCTCTCATTTGCTCTCTTTTTACATTGCTTCACCACTCTCTTAACCTCTCTCTTTTTCTCCATATACTCTTCCCTCCTTGCATCACTTCTACTTTGTAAAAACTTCTCATATGCTAACTTTTTCTCCTTACTACTCTCTTTACATCATCATTCCACCAATCGCTCCTCTTCCCTCCCTCACCCACCTTCCTGTAACCACAAACTTCTCCTGAACACTCCAACACTACATTTTTAAACCTACCCCATACCTCTTCGACCCCATTGCCTATGCTCTCATTAGCCCATCTATCCTCCAATAGCTGTTTATATCTTACCCTAACTGCCTCCTCTTTTAGTTTATAAACCTTCACTCTCTCTCTTCGCTGATGCTTCTATTCTCCTTGTATCCCATCTACCTTTTACTCTCAGTGTAGCTACAACTAGAAAGTGATCTGATATATCTGTGGCCCCTCTATAAACATGTACATCCTGAAGTCTACTCAACAGTCTTTTATCTACCAATACATAATCCAACAAACTACTGTCATTTCGCCCTACATCATATCTTGTATACTTATTTATCCTCTTTTTCTTAAAATATGTATTACCTATAACTAAACCCCTTTCTATACAAAGTTCAATCAAAGGGCTCCCATTTTCATTTACACCTGGCACCCCAAACTTACCTACCACACCCTCTCTAAAAGTTTCTCCTACTTTAGTATTCAGGTCCCCTACAACAATTACTCTCTCACTTGGTTCAAAGGCTCCTATGCATTCACTTAACATCTCACAAAATCTCTCTCTCTCCTCTACATTCCTCACTTCTCCAGGTGCATACACGCTTATTATGACCCACTTTTCGCATCCAACCTTTACATAATTCTTGAATTTACACATTCATATTCTCTTTTCTCCTTCCATAACTGATCCTTCAACATTACTGCTACCCCTTCCTTTGCTCTAACTCTCTCAGATACTCCAGATTTAATCCCATTAATTATATATAAATAACAAAAAAAGGCACAATACCGTGACTGGAACGATACACAAATAACCCGCACCCACACACAGTGTGACTTTGTAAATGGTCCAAGTCGGACTGAAACGTCGTTGTAAGCTCCTCTCTTCTATGTGCGGGTTATTTGTCTAATTATATATGTACCTAATTGAGAATATATCTAATTAAGTACCTAATAATATGTTCAAATGTACTGCTCAAATATGACCTACATCAAAATAGCGTAAGAATTAGTATTAGTCTGCCTGAAGTGCCTAAGCACAGTAGTGGACATCTTTGTAATTTAAATCTTACATGTAAACCACACATTGTAAGCTTTGCAAGGAAATAAATATTTGTAACTCCACACCTAATTTCCACACTACGAGTTCTTTGCATAATATTTACACCACACATTGCCCTTAGACACATCTCCACTGCCTCCAGCCTCCTCCTCCTCACTGCAGCATTTACAACCCATGCTTCACTACCCATATAAGAGTGTTGGTACCACTACACTCTCGTACATTCCTTGCTTTGCCTCCATGGATAATATTTTTTGTCTCCACAGATAGTTCAATGCACCACTCATCTTTTTTCCTTCAACAACTCCCAAATATCCAAAAACATTCACTTCCATGCTCCCATACTCGTATACTTCCATACTGCATATGTGCTTTGTCAGATATACAAATGACAGTTGTAACAAGGAAAACTATCTCTTAACATAAAACTTTTCTTTATCATATACAATGGCTCAAATATCTGAATAATCACTGAATGGAAAGTGGTAATGCTGTATTAAGTACCTAGTTAGACAGGAAAATATGAAAAATACAATCACAGACCTCTTTTCCATTTTTTGTAAAAAACACTGGGACGGATGAAGGATCACTTTCTGGTGATAACTGATCATATTTGATGCCACATCCCATTCTATCACCAGCAGCACACCTTGGCCCAAATACTACACCTCTGGGACGAGCTTTGTACAGTCTGAAATAAGTCTGTTATTTTTAACATACATATAAAAGGTAATGATGCACAAAATAGGTAATTTACAAATTTTGTATGCAAACACAAATAAGTAATCACAAACTTCATGAGCTATGTAAAATAAAAAGATTCAAAGAATTTTCCTACAGTACACAGTATATAAATTACTCTTCCTATTACAGTAAACTCTCTCATACCATGTTGGTTAGATGCCTGAAAAATTAGCAAATAATGCAAAATAGGGCCATATAGGGTTACATTTAGAAAACTTCCCAATTTGTCATTTTTTTTACTACTATACTAAATAACAATTATTACATTAGAAGTTACCTTATATTGCAGTAGTGTCTTCTTGTACTGGAAGTGTGTGTGTATGGAGAGGGTTGATGTGGGCCTACTGTGCAGAAGTAGATGGCTGTAGTTTTTTTGTTGATGTGGATGCAGTGTTGTCAGAAGATGATGGTATGATGGTTGTACTAGAGTGCTTGGCTATTCCTGTAATGCATATCTAATGTGATTTATCCTGAGTACTTCACAGAGCTGACCAAAGTCTGTCATAAAGATGAATGTACTTTTCTTCCATTTTCCTCTTTCTTTTGCTTTATACGTCTCAAACCTGAAAATTCATTTGCATAATTTTCCTGCTATACCTACTGATCCTATTTTATAGGGTATCACTCTATGGTCTTTGCATTTGTGAAATCCATGTGGATTACATCTGAATCTTGGTTTTCTTTCAGGTTCTCTATGATTTTGTTGTACTGATTTAATACAGTGTTGCAATAAATAAGATCTTCCTGCTCTAAGTCCATGTCGATTTGGGTTGTGCAGGTCATACATTTTCACGTGTTCGTAATTTGGCATCTCAATCCCACCTCAAAGACTTCTGTGATATGTGATGTTAGTGCTATTGGGCTGCAAGTTTTTGCCAGAGCTCTACTCTCTCCTTAGTGCTGAGGATCTATTTGTACTTTTTAATTATTCTGGGATTTAAACTAGAACTTTCCCAAAAGAATACTGAGTACTCTTGATAGTGGCATTTTGCACTTTTTTATGAATAAGAAACTCCATGAATGCAGCCGATGTGCTGCATGTGTGAGCATATTTTCTATTTTTTTTTTTTTCTGAGGGATTTTGAAATATTTCAAGATACTGTACATATTGTATGTGATTTGTGAGGCAGGGCGAGTCAATGAAATACTATAAAGATCCTCCAATGTACTTTCATTTAGTGGATTGGTAAACATTGACTCATAATGATCTCTCAAAATTTTGCTCATTTCCTTTTCATCATCAGTATATAAACCTCTTGTTAGAAATGGCCAATACTAAAGGTAGTTGACTTGCAATTAAAGGAGAAAAATTTAAGATTCTTTGTAATTTCCTTTACGCCTCTTCTGTCTGGTATGAATATTTTAGTCTCTGCTTTGTCAGTAATCTCGTGGGCTTCATGTGACATTCTCAGCTTCATGCAATTCAGTATCCCTTTTTCTTCTTTTGTATATTCTTCTATGTTCTCCCTGTATGTGATCTTGAGAGCTTTCTCAACAGAACCGGTGTGGTTTCAAGTGCTCAGTACTGCTTCACAGGGAATGTCTGAATTACTTATTTATTTTGTCCCAGTTAATTTATTGATTGCTAAAAGTTAAATTAATGGAAAACCTCTTCCTGTTGACTATTTCTGGAGTTCTGTGTTTTTTATTTAAACTTGTTTGTAATTCACTGAGGTTGTGATCCAAGTACAGTATATTATATGTGAGATTGCTGTCTCTGGCTAATTTCTCATTATTCATGAAGATCAAGTGTAGTGTATTTTAATTTCTAGTATAATTTATCTGTTAGTTTGAAGCTCTCATTTGTGTTAGGCTAGTGTAATTTATATGTCATTTACCCCAACTGCACAATATACTGTACTCCACATTATAGAAATAAAGTCTGTTTGCTTACTCTTTGGAAAAAATAATGACACATTTCTGAAGCAAGAATAACCACAGGACTGATCGGCCTTTGTATTTTTTTTTTTTACACACCGGCTATCTCCCACTGAGGGAGAGTGACCCAAAAAAGGAAACAGATTCTCATCACTCAATCAGTAACCATCGTGTCAGAAATGCACTGAAATCACAATTTAAATGTATTATTACTATATTACAGTACAGTATATTTAAAAAAAGCATTAAGCTCATATAGGTCATACAGCACAGTAATCATCCTACGAAGACTAGCTTAGCTATGTTTTAATGTTGTACAAAGACAAATTACTCATTAGAAGTTTTCTTTAATATTCCTGTATGTTCAATGCTTGATCTAGCACTACTTTCTTAATAGTCATGTTGAGCCATAATAAAATGTCATTGGTGGGCAGGAACTTAGCACGTCTTCTGATATCATACATTTTGCTTTTCAGTTCACTGTATCAATCACAATTTCTTATTAATTTTGTGAAGAAGAGTGCCTACACTTTGAAAGTGATTTTTAACTCCCTTCTGGAAAGACAGAGAGCGAGTGATGAAAATTTTTCTTCTCTGGGTCACCCTGCCTTGCAAGGAAATGACTCATGTGTTGAAATAAAAATCTTAAGTCTCCTTTGTCCCCTTTCTGTATATACAAAGGAACCACACACTCACTCTGCCCACACTTAAGTATGTTTGTTTCTTTCCTACATACACTTAATAAATATGACAGTACGTAGACCTTTTTCTCCACCTGCTCTTTGCACTTCAGCTTTTCCCCGCAGCACAATTTCTCACTGTTTCACTCACTTGCCTCTCATCACTGATTCTAACAAATCTTATTCTTCCTTGACCCAAATAAGAAATTTTTGCTTTCTTGTCATCATTTCATTAGTAAAATAATCTTTACATATCTAACCCCTTATTAGTGGCTTGCTACTTTCACTCTAAACAAAAACATCTATTTACTCCCTTAGCTTTCTCATATTATAATTTCTCCCACTTATATGTAAACTCTCCCATGACAATTTATCTTGAACTTGGCAAAAAATTCCCTAAACATTTCCCACAAACATTCTCTACATTTCTCGCTTCCAGTGCATCGCATGAAACTTTTTCTAAAAGCTGATAATAAAAAATGACTACAAGAATCAACACAGTTTACATTTGTACCTCTCAAATAATTGAAAGACAGAGTATGAACCATTAGATTTAAAATATCTTGTTTTTTTTCAACAAGTCGGCCATCTCCCACCGAGGCAGGGTGACCTAAAAAGAAAGAAAATCCCCAAAAAGAAAATACTTTCATCATCATTCAACACTTTCACCTCATTCACACATAATCACTGTCTTTGCAGAGGTGCCCAGATATAACAGTTTAGAAGTATATATAAAGATATATAACATTTAAGCTCTTTACATCTTAAGGTTGAAAAAAGTAATGCCATTTTTATGAATGACAGATCCTGTATTCTAAGAGACATTTAGCAAAGCAATGCCTGCACTTTAAGGAGGGGTTTGAGATATTGGCAGTTTGGAAGGACATGTTGTGTATCTTTATACATACAGTGGTCCCTCGTTTATCGTTATTAATCTGTTCCTGGAAGTGCAACGATTAATGAAATAGATGATTTTCGAATCAATTTTCCCAATAAGAAATAATGTAATTTTTTTTTTTTTTTTTAATAAGTCGACCGTCTTCCACCGAGGCAGGGTGACCCAAAAAAGAAAGAAAATCTCCAAAAAAGAAAATACTTTCATCATCATTCAACACTTTCACCTCACTCACACATAATCACTGTTTTTGCAGAGGTGCTCAGAAACACAACAGTTTAGAAGCATATACCTATAAAGATACACAATACATCCCTCCAAACTGCTAATATCCCAAACCCCTCCTTTAGAGTGCAGGCATTGTACTTCCCATTTCCAGGACTCAAGTCCGGCTATATAAAAATAACCGGTTTCCCTGAATCCCTTCACTAAATATTACCCTGTTCACACTCCAACAGATCGTCAGGTCCCAAGTATCATTCGTCTCCATTCACTCCTATCTAACACGCTCACGCACGCTTGCTGGAAGTCCAAGCCCCTCGCCCACAAAACCTCCTTTATCCCCTCCCTCCAACCTTTTCGAGGACGATCCCTACCCCGCCTTCCTTCCCCTACAGATTTATACACTCTCCATGTCATTCTACTTTGATCCATTCTCTCTAAATGACAAAACCACCTCAACAACCCCTCTTCAGCCCTCTGACTAATACTTTTATTAACTCCACACCTTCTCCTAATTTCCACACTCTGAATTTTCTGCATAATATTTACACCACACAGGACAGGACATCTCCACTGCCTCCAACCGCCTCCTCGCTGCTGCATTCACAACCCAAGCTTCACACCCATATAAGAGTGTTGGTACTACTATACTTTCATACATTCCCTTCTTTGCCTCCATAGATAACATTTTTGGTCTCTACATATACCTCAATGCACCACTCACCTTTTTTCCCTCATCAATTCTATGATTAACCTCATCCTTCATAAATCCATCCGCCGACACGTCAACTCCCAAGTATCTGAAAACATTCACTTCTTCCATACTCCTCCTCCCCAATTTGATATCCAATTTCTCTTTATCTAAATCATTTGATACCCTCATCACCTTACTCTTTTCTGTGTTCACTTTCAACTTTCTACCTTTACACACACTCCCAAACTCATCCACTAACCTTTGCAATTTTTCTTTAGAATCTCCCATGAGCACAGTATCATCAGCAAAAACTAACTGTGTCAATTCCCATTTTGTATTTGATTCCCCATAATTTAATCCCACCCCTCTCCTGAACACCCTAGCATTTACTTCTTTTACAACCCCATCTATAAATATATTAAACAACCATGGTGACATTACACATCCCTGTCTAAGACCTACTTTTACTGGGAAGTAGTCTCCCTCTCTTGTACACACCCTAACCTGAGCCTCACTATCCTCATAAAAACTCTTTACAGCATTTAGTAACTTACTACCTATTCCATATACTTGCAACATCTGCCACATTGCTCCCCTATCCACTCTATCATGTGTCTTTTCTAAATCCATAAATGCAATAAAAACTTCCCTACCTTTATCTAAATACTGTTCACATATATGCTTCAATGTAAACACTTGATCTACACATCCCCTACCCACTCTGAAACCTCCTTGCTCATCCGCAATCCTACATTCTGTCTTACTTCTAATTCTTTCATTTATAACCCTACCGTACACTTTTTCTGGTATACTCAGTAAACTTATTCCTCTATAATTTTTACAATCTCTTTTATCCCCCTTCCCTTTATATAAAGGGACTATACATGCTCTCTGTCAATTAATCTGTACAATCAATTCGTTCCTGACACCCAGAAGAATTAAAACAAAAAATTTTTTTACATGAAATATAGATGTAGTACATAAACAATACAATGGGACATGATGAATGAAACATTAACAGCATAACACTTACCTTTATTGGCAATTCTTCTTAGTGTATGGAAGACTGGAGGAGGAGAGAGATTGGATTAGTTACTGTTTGGAAGGGGAATCGCCTTCCATCAACACCTTAGGTACCAAGTCCTTTTCTCTGGTTACTTCTCTTCTCTGTTTCTTAATGCCACTAGGAGCAGCTTGAGAGTCACTGTACATCTGTGGCACTAAATACTTGTCCAGAAAGCTTTGTTTCTGGCATCTCTTTAAAACTTCCCTAAAATGGGCCAAGACTCTGTAACTGTGCAAGTTGCTGATATGGCTTGCAACATCCTTCTCAGGGTGATGTTTCTCCATAAATCTTTCCATTTTACCCCACATTTCAAAACTCTCCTTAACCCTTTCAGGGTCCATGCCATAGATCTACGGTTTTACGGTCAGGGTCCAAACTGCAGATCTACGCCATGAGCTCAGCTCACTCTGATAAGCTGTGAGCAGTAAATTTGGGCCTAGATATGAGAGAATACATCAATGTGATATGTGTGCACAACATAAAACAAATCCTGCAGCACAAAGTGCATAATGAGAGAAAAAAACCGAGACCGTAATTTTTGATTAAAACAGCAACTTTGCAGTGTTTTTTCGTATGTTTTTTAAAGTTTTATTTGCAATTTCTTGGTCTCAATTGATAGAATGGAAGATATACTACAGAAATAGAGATGATTCTGATTGGTTTTATTACTAGAAATGGATTGAAACTGAGCTCAAAGTAGCAGAAATGTTAAATTTTTGCCGATTTTCAAGAGTAAACAAATGACCTCACAAGTCTAATACATGATAGCTGGTGGGTCTAATATACATTCACAAATGTGGTGATATTATTTATACAATTATTACAGTATTGCATAACAGTAAATCTTCTATTTTTTGGTTTGAATAAAAATTCATTATATGAATAAAAAATAAAAATGGAATTCATTTGTAAAGCCTGAAAACATAACTAATGAACAGAGGAAATGTTAGTTTAGTGCCAGGAATGCCTGCATTGTTTATTCTGGATCCTATTTTGAAATTGGAATATTTTGAACTTTGCATTATTATTATTATTATAATAAAAAAGAAGTGCTAAGCCACAAGGGCTATACAGCTGAACTTTGCATTAAATTGGCCAAATTACCAATTTCCGGTCACTTTATTTTGTTGTTGAAACAGTTGACTTGGCGATTTCTTGTGCTCAAACAACAGAATAGAAGTAATACTAGTGAAATAGCTAAGAATTTATTTGGTTGACTGGAATACTGTAATTGGCCTAAAATGGGAGTCAAAGTTGGCAAAATTGCCAATGCATAAATATCGCCGACATATCAAAATTCGCGAGAGCATAATTTCTTCAATTTTCCAACAAATTTCATACTTTTTGTTTTATTACCTTCAGAAAAAAATTCTCTACTATTTCATAAGAAAAAATAACAAAATTGTTTTTTGAAAATTCTTGGACCCTGGTGCACACTTTGAAATTTGGCCTCTGGACCCTGAAAGGGTTAATTTTTGAAGAAGGCACTTTCTTCCATCTCTCTTCCTCCTCCTCTGCAGCAAGATTCTGAGCTGCGATCTGTTGCTGAAGCTCTTGCAGCTCCTCAGTGGTTAGCTCTTCGTTGTGGTCCTCCACCAACTCTTCCACATCCTCCAAACTCACATCCAACCCCATTGAACTCCCCAGTGTCACAATAGAGTTCACAACTGACATAGGCTCATTAGGGTCAGCCACAAATCCTTCAAGATCCCTCTTGTGGGCACAATCTGGCCACAATTTTCTCCAAGCAGAGTTCAAAGTCCTGGTAGTCACTCCCTCCCAAGCCTTACCTATAAGGCTTATGCAATGGAGGATACTGAAGTGTTCTTTCCAAAACTCTCTTAGGGTCAAGTGAGTGTCTGAGGTCACATTAAAGCACCTTTGAAACGTTGCTTTCGTGTAGAGTTTTTAAGGTTTGAAATGACCTGCTGGTCCATGGGCTGGAGGAGAGGAGTGGTACTCAGGGACAAGAACTTTACTGTGATGAACCCAAACTCCTGCAGAATTAGGTCATCCAAGTTTGGAGGATGAGCAGGTGCATTGTCCATTACTAGGAGGCACTTGAGATCCAATTTCTTTTCCAGGAGGTAATTCTTCACACTACGGCCAAACACTTCAATGAACCACTCGACAAAAATTTCCTTCGTGACCCATGCCTTATTATTAGATCTCCAAAACACACACACTTTACTCTTCATAACATTGATTTTTTTTAACACTCTGGGATTTTCAGAATGGCACACTAGTAACGGCTTCACTTTGAAATCCCCACTAGCATTAGCACAGAACATGAGAGTCAGCCTGTATTTCATAGGCTTGTGTCCTGGCAGTCCCTTTTCCTCCTGAGTAATGTAGGTCCTCTTTGGCATTTTCTTCCAAAAGAGGCCTGTTTCATCACAATTGAACACTTGTTCAGGTTTCAGTCCCTCAGCCTCTATGTACTCCTTGAATTCACTTACGAATTTTGTAGCTGCAATTTTGTCTGAACTGGCAGCCTCACCATGCCTTATCACACTGTGTATGCCACTACAGTTCTTACATCTCTCAAACCAACCTTTGCTGGCCTTAAATTCACAAATATCAGTACTCGTTGCAGGCAATTTCTTTACCAGATCATCATGCAACTGCCTAGCCTTTTCACAAATAATCGACGTCATAAGCCTATCTCCTGCTAATTGTTTCTCGTTTATCCACACCAATAATAACTTCTCAACCTCTTCAAGTACTGGTCATCTCATTTTTGTCAGCATATTTACCCCCTTTGCAACAACAGCTTCCTTGATTTCCCTTTTCTTGGCCACGATGGAAGATATGGTTGTACGGGATTTGTTATACATCCTGGCTGGTTCGGCCACACGTACGCCACTTTCATATTGTTCAATAATGTTTTTCTTAAATTCAATTGTATTTCTCACTTTCTTTACCAAAGGCTTGGCACTAGGAGCTTTCTTTGGAGCCATGGTAGCTTATTTAGCACTTGCAAGCACTAAAACGAATGGAATATTATGAAATATTTCATACAAACAAGTGAGGGGACCGTTGCTCACTGGTAAACAATGGCACACTGGCTGGGAAGGGAGGCCGAGACGGCTCAGAGCCGTGGGTACGTGTCCAGGATGAACGACAATTAGTGAGTCAACCGACCATTTGCGAGCCAATTTTTGGATGAAAATAACGCGATGATTTCTGAAAAGGACGACTATCGAGCCCGACTATTATCGAGGGACCACTGTATATGATTCTAAAATGTTGTATTCTGAGCACCTCTGCAAAAACAGTGATTATGTGTGGGTGAGGTGAAAGTGTTGAATGATGATCAAAGTATTTTCTTTTTGGGGATTTTCTTTCTTTTTTGGGCCACCCTGCCTTGGTGGGAGATGGCCGACTTGTTGAGAAAAGAAAAAATTAGCAAAACATTAAAAGATCATAATGACTTACCTGCCATCATCAGCATGATACCCAACACTATCTACAGCCCATCCAGGTAACTTATGTAAAGGATATTTAGCAGAACAGAGACCTGAAACAGTAATGTACATATGAATTCATTTGTCACACAATTATTACTGAATTAACTTTTAACAAAATGAGCTATAACATTCTTCTTCTGTGCTGATTCTTACTGGGACTTGATTCATCATTGTTATATTTTCCATTTTCATGGGATAAGGAAGAACATGTATGGAAATGATGGAGTTATGTGGAAAAGCCTATCTACTTGTCCTGGAGTCTGCTTATTAACTCCTGAACGCAATCACAATAGAATCACCATTGCTTATGTTTTTCTGACAATTCACTGTAAACTTACAGTTCTGTATTCTAGCAGTCATTGGAAGGAAGTAGTCAGATCAACTTTAATCTTTTACACAGACACCATCATACAAATACAGAGATAAAAAAATCTTTTGACCTACTACATCCTTCTTGCTCAACAAACTCCTCAACTTGATATTAACACTTATTCACATGCTTGGGTCACCTGCACCTCACTCATGATCCTCCCTCTTTCTATATATTCTCATGTTTTCCATGCATAGTACTCTTTACAAACTTGAAAAAACTTGGTCTCCAAGCAAAACATGACAATGTATCACTGTTAAAATGTTCTTCTTTTATATCAATGTTACTATACTGTGTTTTTACTTAGAAAAGTGAAGGGTAACACTTACCTATTGATATGGCTCCTTGGACGCCCATTTCAAGGATTTCAATCTCAAAATAACTGTGATCAGCACTGACAGGCATTTCGCCGACATACACCCCAACCCTCTCCTCTTCTTCCTCTTCACTGTAACTGTTATATTTGAAAGTTAATTCAATATCTACCATGGACAGTCATCCCTACAAATTCATTTGGGTTATATTTCTAGAGATCCTATGAAACTAAAATTTGCATATACAAAATTAATAAATTTTACTTCAGATTTTGGTTTATTTTGTGTTTCAGAGACTACATTTCTGTAGTATAGTATATCATTCTAATCTGGTTAAAACTGACATTCATAAAGAATAATGATAAAATAAAGAGAGATTTGGGAAAGCCACTGAGCCAGAAAAAATTAAATAGATTTAATGAATCTATTCGCTGGTAGTCTTTCAATAAAAATGTTGGCTAACTGAAACCAGCAAATACTGAAGTCTGCAAATTTGTAGGGATGACTGTGTATTGTATACACAGTCATCCCTATAAATGTGCATTGTATACTCATAATGAATTTACATTTCTGCATTTTACACACACAAAGTATACACACAATAGTAACATACAATTTAAAACAGCATGTAAACAATATATTGTACCAAAAGTTGATTCATTTGATAGTTTTGAAATTTGGGCTCAAGGAAACCAACTGGAAATAGAGAGATAGACTTAACTAAACCAGATGAACCTCACATGCAACCTATAGACACAGCCGACAAATTTAATGTCTTCTTCTCTACTGTAGGATCAAAGCTAGCAAGTCAAATTCCTAGCTCAAATACCCATCCAAGCAAGTACCTCACTGGCAACTATCCAAATACATACTCTATTTCTAGCTCCAACTAATCCCACTGAAGTCTCACTCATCATTAAATCATTAAAAAACAAATCAGGTGATCTAGATAACTTGTCGCCATTCATATATAAAAAAGCTGCACCAGAACTGTCGCCCATTATTGCAACAATGTTTAACAAATCTATAGCTTCCTCAACCTTCCCATCCATACTCAAGACAGCAAGGGTCATCCCGATCCACAAAGGTGGAGATCCAACTGATTTGAACAATTACAGACCCATATCAAACTTGCCCTTACTCTCCAAGATATTTGAAAAAATAATACACAAACGACTTTACTCCTACCTTACAGCCAACAACATACTAAACCCATGCCAGTTTGGATTTAGACCAAAAAAAAGCACGAATGATGCTATTATACAAATGCTTGACCTTATATACACAGCTCTCGAAAAGAATGAATATCCCCTGGGGCTCTTTATTGACCTAAGAAAAGTGTTTGACACAGTTGACCACAATTTCTTGCACCTCAAACTGAATCATTATGGCATAAGAGGACATTCTCTTGACTACCTAAAATCCTATCTTAATGAAAGACACCAGTATGTACATGCAAATGGAGTCAACTCCACTATCCAACCTGTAGCTGTAGGAATACCCCAAGGTAGTGTCCTTGGCCCACTCCTCTTTCTCATCTACATCAATGATCTCCCCAACGCATCCCAACTCCTTACACCAGTTCTATTCGCAGATGACACTACGTATGTCTACTCCCATTCAGACCCAGCTGTACTTGAAAACACTGTAAACAATGAACTGCTAAAGATATATGCTTGGATGATGACCAACAAATTCACACTCAACCTAGACTAAACATACTTCATGCTGTTTGGCAACAGAGCCTCAAATATTCAACTCAACATACTGTTAAATGGTTCCCCTACATCAAGACACATGGAGGGCAAATTTCTAGGTCTTCTCCTTGACTGTAATCTTAAATTTCAGTCCCATACCCATCACATAGCCAAGAAAATTTCAAAATCAGTAGGAATCCTTTCCAAGATATGCTACTATGTACCACAAACGGCTCTCCTTACCCTGTACCACTCTCTAATATATCCTTACCTCACCTATGGTATCTGTGCCTGGGGCTCAACCACAGCCAACCACCTTAGACCCTTAACCCTTTCAGGGTCCCCAGGTCCTCTCCGAGACTTGTTCTCAGGGTCACCAAATATAAAAAAAAATTATTTTTTCTTGTGAAAAGATAAAGAATCTTTTCCCGATCATAATGACACCAAAAGTATGAAATTTGATGGAAAACTTACGGAATTATGCTCTCGCGAATTTAGCAGTCTCGACGATGTTTACGCATCGGCGATTTTGCCCACTTTGAGCCGTATTTTCAGCAATTACAGTGTACTAGTCGACAAAAATCATAACTACTTTGCTAGAACTCCAGTTTTTCTATCGAATGAGTACAAGAAACCACCCATTTACCGATTTCAACTATCCAATAAAGTGGTCAGAATTTAGCAATTTTGTCAATTTCACACAAATTTCAAAAGATGCTAATTTCCGAATAGGGTCCAGAATAAACAAGAAAGACATTCCTGGCACTAAAATAACAAGTTCTCTGTTTGTTAGTCACATCCCCAGGCCCCTCTTATATTTCTTTGGCTTTCCACTTTGAATTTTTATTCTTACAAAAAAATAGAAGATTTACTGTTATGCAGACTACTGCATTAGTGTAGAAATGGTATAAATAATATCAGCGCACTTGTGAAAGAATATTAGACTCACCAGTTGACGTGTATTGGATGCGTAGCACGATTTGTTTACTTTTGAACTTTGGTAAAAATCAAACATTTCTGCTACTTTGAGCTCAATGTCAAGATACTTTTCATTGTAAAACCAGTCAAAATCATTTCAATTTCTGTAATATGTCTTCCATTCTATAAAATGAGACCAGGAAAACTAGAATACAACAATAAATACCATACGAAAATACAGTGCAAAGTCACTGTTTTAATCCAAAAAACACGGTCACAGTTTTTTTTTCTCATTACGCACTGTGTGCTGCAGGATTTTTTTTATACTGTGCACACTAACCACATAGACCCATTCTTTCATATGTAGGCCTACCAACTTTCTCTCACTAGATTTGAGGGCGCTAGAATTTAGGGGTACTAGTACGTCAAAACCCTTGGGCATAAGCCTAACAAACCTGAAGGGTTATAATGAATAAAATGCTTGCGGGATGGACTCAGCTTATGCGAAACGTTACACCAAGTTTTCAAACGACTAACTCTAAATATACAAAATAATTTAATCGTGCAATACCCCCTAAAGTATGAAAAATTTTTTAACCACATTGAATGTTATTTAATACACCAAACTTAAAAAGGGATGCAAACTGCATACCTACAGGAAAATTTTGATTGAAAAACAGTGAATAATTCGAGAAGTAAGACTGATATTATTATCTTCCTTCTGGGTCAAGGGCAAGAATCTGAAGTCTTCCATTAGAAATTGGTTGAAAATCTTTCTGAATTAAAAGCTTATTCTTTTATGCATAGACCAGCTAAAATAAAAACTCTGTCACAACAAATGTGCCAAGAGTCTTGTCCAAAATGTTCCTGGCGACTTTCCGAGAATTGGCCATAACATGTATACTTAAATATTAGCGTTTATGTTTAGCTGTTCAGGTGAATTTCATTTTTCAAGTTACATTCGAGCACTTTAGACATTTCTTATAATTTGAATACACAAGGATTCCACGCTTACGGTTCTCAGGTTAGCCAACCTTCAACTTTGTATTTCCAAAAATTATCACCATTAACTCGCTTAGGCCCACAAGCCTTTCTTGGGTCCCTGGTCCATATTTCCAGATCACCGAAACATGTATAATACGAAGTATAAGTCTCTCTTTGTTGGGTACCGCGAGAATTCAATGTTTTTACAATGGGATCATTTTATAGTGGACAATTGGACTGTGCTCGGACGTAAAATCGGTAACGGTTTTAATCGGTATGCGCGGCAAAAATTTGCGATAAAAGTAATCGTTATGCGGAAAAATCGCTATGTGATGCCATCGTTATGCGGGGGTCCACTGTATAGCCAAAACCCTGAAAGGGTTAATAATGCAACAAAAAGCTGCTGTGCGGGTGATAACCAGCTCCTGTGCTAGACAGCACACCTCACCAGTTTTCAAATGACTCAACTTGCTAAATATACAAGACATACACTCTTATTATTGTGCCTACTACATATATAGAACTTGAAACTCCACTGTAAACCCTCCTTGTGAAGGCTTACTCAGCCCTGTAACAACTTCAGACAGTATTACCAAGGCTGGCTCCTCCTCAGGAAAATTAATGAATAGAAAAAGAAATAATAATTCACAAAGATAAACACTATTATTTATTATCCCCTTCAGGGTCCAAGGCCAAAATCTGAAGTGGTGCTCCAGTGTCCAAGAAATTTTGAAAAAAAAATTCTTACAGAATTAAAGAGCATATTTTTGTGAAGGTAATAAGACAAAAAAAAAAATTCTGATCAGTACTTACTGAGATACAGTGCCAAGAAGTTTGTCCAAAATGATGTGGTGGCGGCAACATCGATGAATTCCACATACACGCATTACTTTATTTAGCGGTTTTTATAGTTTTTTCTTTTCTTTTCCAATTTTTTTTTTCCTACTAACATTTGGGGCCTGAGAGACCAATACTGTATATAATGTATATACAGGAAGGCCCCGCTTTACGGCGTTTCACTTTACGGCATTCCACTAATACGGTCATTTCAAATTATGACCAAAACTCGCTATACGGCTCCCCCCCCTGCCTTTCTAATACGGTCACCGCGCCCCACCCTGTTTGTTTACATTCTTCGTGAGCTCAGTAAGCACTAAGTCTCTCCATTTTGTTTGGAAACTCCAAAATTTCAAATGTTTTTAAAGGTTATTTCATATTTTATATATACTCTGATAATTATACTTATGTATACCTGTCCCTTAAATAAACTTACATACTGTGTGGCATGCAGGTACACATTAAAATCAGTAAGGAGTGTCTTATGTCTCCAGACGTCATATTAGAATGATAATAATAATCATCGTCTCATTTAAATGTCGTATTTACGTTAAATACACATTTTCATTAATCCATCTATGATATTTTTCAAAAATTATATAATAAACACGATACATAAACAAAAAAAGATGTTAAATACCCCCACAATAGAAAAAATAAACATAAATATGAGTTGTGGTAGCAGATGACTTGCAAAAGTAAAC